AGGGTGTACGGAGGCCAAACAACCTTTTCAGACGGAGATGGAGGGTTGCAGCGCCTTGGATCCCTTTTGGAGTATATCGAGATTCCAAACATCATTAACATTGGGCCCGAGACCTATGGGATCTACAGCAGCGAGTTGATGAGAAACGGTCGATTCAGCTATCTGTGGTACGAAACCCTAGACTTGACGACCTTTCTCTTTTCGGGGCCCCGCAGGCCTTCGGTCATGGAAACACAGACGCATGCTAAAACAACGAACTTTCTGCGTAAACCCCCTCGCTACCGCCATGAATCTCGATTCCACGAGTCGTGAAAACACACTGCTACTGTGAAGAATGGCTGATGAGATGGTCTCAACGCTTGGTTGAAACCCCGAAGAAGAATGTCTGATACCGTACTGATGCCGTTGGATAGCGATACATTTTGCATGCGTGACCCCTTGAGGAGTCAAAAGAAAGAAAAAGCTGAGTGGTGATCTGGTACAAGCGAGCGGTTGAATGCCTTGATGACCCTTGAAGAATGTGGACTACGTCCGCTGTAAAATTGAAAAAGTATGAATCGCGAAGCCCTATGTTGGTGGCAAGCTTGTGTCAAGGATCCAAGTGACAGGAGCATATTGACGGTTCATACCATTTGAAATTGGTGACTAAGGATGATGATGAGCCAACAATGTTGCCATTCGTGAATTGAAGGGACTGGGATTAGTTCTCAACTGCATCCTAAATCAGTATGAGAAAGACAGTTGTAGCAGTAGTAAGAAATCCAAACGTACCGAAGATATGCTCGTTATCCTCCATAAGGTCGTCCTCAGGCATATCTGAGGCTTCCTCAGGGGCAGTCTGACGCACAGGCTCCTTGCCCTTGTTTTTGACAGTACGACGACAAGCGGGAGTGGACTTCTCCCCCACCTCTTCTTTCTTGACTGCAATGAAATCTTTCTGCATATCTAATGCCTAATCATCCAATTAGCTTCTAGACCAGACAACATCAAGCAAAGAGAACTCACAGTAGTGGCAGCAACGAAAATCTGCTCAGCGAACCCGCCTCCCTGTTTGACCATACGAACCAGATCTTTCCTGGTCGCCTCATCCACTCCCTTCATGAACATCGGCGCTACCTTGGAAAAATACACCTTGAATGGTCCATTCTCATGGTCAAGTTCCTCATAGTACATGTCCTCAGCCCAATCGAAGAATTTGCCAGGCGGGATCCTAGACATGATCTTAGAGCTCGAGAAGAGCTTGACGACCTGCTTCTGCAAGCCGGGCAGGACATAATGCTTGGCTAGGCTCATGAGTTCTTTGAATTCTTCGAGGCGTGCAAGAGGGGTGTTCTTGTTCTTGGACATCAAGAATTTGTCTTTGTAGAGAAATTGAAGCATCTGCTCGAAGGCAATGGCGTCGTGGGCCATTAGGGGAAGAGTATTCTGCTTGGTGGCACGCTTGTTTGCTTTGGCTTTGTCGATCTCTTCTGCGAGCTTGGGGGAGCGCTTGAGGACTGACTCGTGGGCGTGGAACTGAGGGCCGTCTGGGCCGAGCTGGATGATGAAGATGGTGGCTGTGAAGTTCCTGTTGTTTTTTAGCGTTGAATCTTTGTGTGGGTCAGCAAGGAGGAAGCGTAGACATACATAAACTCCGAGTTGCCAGCCAGTCCGCCGGGTGTGGTGGTAGAGGTTGCGCGAGGTGCTGATCTCATCAACGCGTTACTACGGACGCGCTTTTTGGTTGGTACAACAGCAGATCCATTTGAATTAGCTGAGCTGGCATTCGAGTCGCCACGGACACGCTTGCCGAGTGTCTTCTTTGGTGCTTTGGCCTTTGGACGCAGAGGGACTCCATTGGAGTTGCTAGCCTTGACAGATGAAGACGTGGAGTCCGAATTGGTGCCACCATCGACGAGGCCTTGAGCGACCGAGAAGCTGGAGTCTGCTGAATCCGAATCACTGTGGTTGTTGTCCTCAGGGCTCAAGATGTGCTCCGGTGAGACGCGTGCTGGAGGTGTCGGTGGAGGGGCATCATCCCCTGATGCCTCGACAGTACCATCAAAGTCGGGAAGCAACATGGCAGCAGTTCCCAAATGACGGCTTGAGACAGGAGAAGATGAAGCGGCCAGCTGCTTCGGAGAGCTGCCGACAGAAGGGGGCGATGCCGTCTTCTTGGTGACCCAAGAGGCCTCGAGACGCGAAGGAGATACCATTTCCTGGTATCAAGCCGTACGTTACTTGTTGATATGAATGTGTTTGAGGTGTTTGGAGAGAGTTTTAAGGGATGTATGGAGTATCAGAGCATAAGTCTTGGGTATGAAGGATGGAGAAAGGTGAAGAAGGTTGGGGTCGTGAGATGAGAATTTGGCAGAGAATCAAGGTTACAAGCCGTGTGTGTGTAGTCGCTCGGTGGCCAATTGGTCTTTGGTCGTTTTGGTGTTGTGACGGTGGCATCGACACGAATGGTCGATATGGGAGGTGTAAAACCCTACCACTCGGCGTTCAAATAGACTTGCCCCAAAAAATTCATACACATATCTTCAGTTCACTCCGAGAAAGTGACACACTTGATTCGCTCGATGTGAAGTGTTCTCCCCGTCGTGAAGTGAAACATCTGCTAAGTATAAAAGGAGTCAGGTGTAGACAAAAAGAGAGTCAGTAAAAGAGGTTACAGCGTCGAATAGGGTTCTCCTGCGGGTCGAAGGAACAACAGATACGGATTACGGACAGAGCTAAAAGTCAGACCTTGGTGTTGGGAACCGTGAGCGGAGAGCGTTTTCAAGGGCAACTGTCGTCTGACTATGGAAAGGGCAAGCATTTTCAGGCATGGGGGTAGCGCCAACTTCTGTTGGACTAGAAAAGTTCCGTTGCCGTGAGGCACGAGCAAGAGCACCCATGAATAGACTGGCGCACGACGTGGAGCCATTTGCAGCCTTTCATGAAACCATTTACAACCTTGACTTTACGGAAAAGCATCCTGCGATGGACAAAAGAGATATTAGCGACTTGGTTGGCTGTTCAAATTTTTACCACTGCTGTTGACGGCGTCCAGTCATGAGGCTTTGAGAGGGATACTGCTGAAGGGTGGTGCAGGATGGTGGGATGCACGACATGGATTAGAGACTGATGTAGAGTGTTTTAATTCTGATTCAAGAGTTCGTTCGCTACTATCCTGCTAAGCATAAGTCAGTTCCAGTCGTTAAGAAGGGACCATGAACCTTGCCTTTGGAGGTAGTTCCCCCTTCCCACCACGCATATTTTGCCCCTTTTAGCATCCTGAGAGCTCCCCACCACCTGCGGCCATCTGCTTCTTTCCATTTCATCGAGCTTTTGGTTCACCATGGCGCCTGAAACTGACAGAAGACTACGCCATGCACAGCATGCTCCTTAAGTCAGAAGGTCCGCAACTTGGAAATGTTAGCGTGGTTCTCAGGCTGAGAGGTTGTTGACATACCATTCATGGGCATTTCGTCAATCTGCGTTGAGTAGTACACTACACTCCCGTCAGCAAGCGTAGGTGGGCTCTAGGCTGTCAGAAGCTTACATTCAATGTCACGCAGAATGCGAACATCTTCGCTGGTAACAAAGTTGATGGCGACACCTTTCCGTCCAAATCGTCCGCTTCGACCGATCCTGTGGATGTAATTCTCACGATTGCTGGGAAGATCGTAATTGATAACAAGAGAAACTTGTTGGACGTCAATGCCACGGGCCCAAACATCCGTCGAGATGAGAACGCGGGAGTTGCCTTGACGGAAGTCCTGCATAATACTATCTCGCTCCTTCTGCGGCATCTCGCCATGCATTGAAGACACGGTGAAGTTCGCTTCACGCATCTTGTCCGTCAGCCAGTCAACCTTTCTACGAGTATTGCAGAAGATGACGGCTTGTGTGATGGTGAGTGTATCGTAGAGATCGCACAAGGTATCAAACTTCCATTCCTCCTTTTCGACGGCGATGAAGTATTGCTTGAGACCCTCGAGCGTCAACTCGTCACGCTTGACCAAAATGCGGACAGGGTCTGTCATGAACTTCGTAGTCATGTCTAGGACGTCGTATGGAAGCGTAGCGGAAACCACGACGACTTGGGTCGCGGGAGGAAGGTATCGATAGACATCGTAGATTTGCTCTCTAAACCCGCGGTTGAGCAACTCATCTGCTTCGTCCAACACAAGTATTTTGATGTTGCGAGTGCGCAAATTGCGTCGTCGGATCATGTCTGCAACTCTTCCTGGTGTACCCGAGACAATATGCTGGCCGTAGTCAAGCTTGCGAATGTCCTCCCCAACGTTTGTCCCACCAATGCAAGCGTGACACTGCACATTCATATAGTCCCCAAGCGCCATCACTACCGATTGGATCTGAGTGGCCAACTCTCGAGTAGGAGAGAGGACCAAAGCTTGCGTCTCGCGAAGAGCAGTGTCAATGACTTGAAGGCAGCTGATGGAGAAAGTGGCCGTCTTCCCGGTACCGGATTGTGCTTGGGCAATGGTATCTCGTCCTTTGCAGATCTGGACGATGGCTCGAGACTGGACAGCTGAAGGGGACTCGTATCCATAGGCGTATATTCCACGCAGGAGATTCTCTTTCAGCTGCATGTTCTCAAATGTAGGCGCAACAGTGACCTCCTTCGATGTTGCGAACTCCATCTTCTCTGTTCGAAGTCAGCTTTTATTCTTGAGAGTTCAAAGGTGAATTGCAAACCCTCCATATTTCTGTCGATGCCGGCCATGACTGCCGGATATCTGGAATGTTGTTGGAAAGTGACAGTGCTCTTGCTGTAGCTGATGTGCTGATGAGGAAGGCTCGAAGGGCAGAATGTGTCCGAGATATTTAACCGTGGTTCTGCCGCTGGCATGGTTTGATTGGTCACCAGACTTGATCTTGGCTTCAGTAAAGTAGGTAGCAATTGTGCCCATAGCAGATCATAATCCCTCTCCCTCCATACCCGTTGTATCAACCATTCACCCGATTGAACGAGGATTTCCAATAGTTTGATTGGAATTTATCTCTGAACCATGCTGCTCGAAGAACAGAGATTTCTCCACGAGGACCTCGAGAGGCTCGAACAAGGAATCAGTGATAGAGTTGCAGAAGACCCGAGACATGTATGTGCCTCTGCTGGCTCGCAGATATTTTATGATATGCTGACTGTTTGCTAGGTCCGTGACCGATTGAATCGAGACCATCAGATTTCCGGGTTTCTCAATCGCATCCAGGACCAATCAAAACGACTCCTCGACATCTACAAAGACACGGAAGGCCTGCGTTCCAAGGAAATACAGTCAATATCTACAGGGGACCCTTTTGATGAGTTCTACAAACAGATGACCGAGATCAAGGAGCACCACCGACGATACCCAAATCAGCCAGTTGAGAATCTAGAGAGAGCATACAAGAGGAAAGCGTCCGGTGAAGGGGAGTCAGCTACAGCGGAAGTGGACAACATGTTCACAGGCGAAGAAGCCTTTGGTCGATTCTTGGATCTGACAACGTTACATGAGGAGTACCTGAACATCCAGTCAAAGCGGGTGTCCTACCTGCAATACCTGCAAATATTCGACAATTTTGGACCACAATACATCGCAATGAAACGTGCTGAAAAGAGTACGGATCAGTACTTCAATTACGTTGGACGACTTGCAGATTATCTGGAGAGCTTTTTGAGACGAACAAGACCGTTGGAGGACCTGGACAAGTTCTTTGCCTCCATTGATCAAGACTTCGAGAGGGCGTGGGAGGAGGACTCGGTTCCTGGCTGGGGCCCAGAGGCGCAACCAGCAGGATCTGCAGTACCCGTGACAGAAGGCACAGGCGAGGGTGTCTGGTGCCCAGATTGCGAGAAGGAGTTCAAGAATGACAATGTCTACAAAAGCCATTTGAACGGCAAGAAGCACATCAAGAATGCCAAAGCAAGACAAGCTCGGGGAGAAACCAACGGTACAAATGGAGGAGCTCCAAATGGCCACGCCAACGTTCGAGGATCCACCGTCCAACGACTGAAAGAACGTGCAATTGCAGAACGTGAATACCGCATAAAGCGCCTAGCCTCTACAATGGAGACTGTCCGTACCGACTCGCGCGTGAATGTTGAGCGCAAGCAAGGCATGACGGAGCGCGAACGGCAGATGGAACTCGACGCCTTCTTCGCTGAGTCCACCGAAGCACCGCAGCGCAACGGCGATGATGATTCGGACTCAGATGGTGACGAGAAAATTTACAACCCTCTCAAGCTACCTTTGGCTTGGGACGGCAAGCCCATACCTTATTGGCTCTACAAGCTCCACGGTTTAGGTGTAGAATTTCCTTGTGAGATCTGCGGAAACTTTGTGTATATGGGCCGTAGGGCATTTGATAAGCATTTTAACGAGGCGCGACACATTTATGGACTGAAGTGTTTGGGAATCACAAATACAACGCTGTTTAGGGAGATCACAGGGATCGAGGACGCGTTGAAGCTGTGGGATAAGATCCAGCGGGATAAAAAGAAGGAAAAGAGCGGGGGGGAAAACGTCGTGCAGATGGAGGACGCGGACGGGAACGTCATGCCCGAGAAGGTCTACTATGAGTAAGTGCCTTCTACCTCATTACTAATGGATATGGTAAAGACGGATGCTGATGTGGTTTAAAGTCTTCAAAAACAAGGCCTTCTATGATCATCTCCGTAAGCGCGCCATCGTTGAGACAAGGCAGTCAACCTCAGGCAACATCTCCAAAAATGAGGAATTGACGAAACATCGTTGAGACTGACATCTCCGCTTTCCGCCACATCCGAGATATCGTCGTTGTTTCAGAGACCCCATTCATGGCCTTGTCCGTAGCCACCCACAGTGTTCAATGTGCCCAGGCTTCCCGTGTTAGCTTTCGCGGCAGCAACATTGTACGACAAAGAATCATCTGCTATGAATAGTGGCTCGAGCTCGGTGCGAAGGAGTAGCACCAATAATACCCTCGGCATTTGCCTCGACCTCAAGTCTTTGTGGTCTCGATAATTCAAGTGCGAGCGCCTTCTAATGGCCAGTCAATGAGCCCCCCGTCCGTCTTTATTGTTTCGTAGCGAAACTGTGCGCCTCTTCTCTTTGACAGTGCCACATCTACTCTTTGTCTTACGCCAACCTTCGAGTCTAGATATGACACGTGCGTTCTTTGTTTCTCTCACTCAGGTATCTATTTCTTGTACCTCCTCCATCTCAAAAACCTTAAGCACGTTCACTCCCAACCCTTTCCAAGTCTTCAGATTTTCACACTCACTACACTCACTGTCTTTAAGGAACCTTCCTAGTTATCTTTCATTCTATCTTTAACAGATCTCTCATTTCAGTTATTTTATGAGACAGCGTCTCAATCACCATGCTTTTCAACAAAAGATCAGTTGCGGCCGTCGCTGCCATCGCTGCGTTACCGTCATCCTTTGCTCAAGTGATTACAGTCTGCAATCCTTTGGATGGTATGCAGTCTTCCAGCGTACTGTGTGGGCAAGACTAATGGGTCTCATAGTTAACTGCCCCAATGGATTGGGTCTGTCGACCAGCTCTTACTTTATGGATTTTACGCAGCAAAAGTCTCTTCCTAGCGACTGGACCAGCGCTCTCTACGAGTACACTACCTTCGACTCTACCATGGGTGCCGCTTTCAACTTCGGGAAACAGGGTGATGCTCCAACCATCTATTCTAATTTCTTCTTCTTCTTCGGACGTGTCGAGTATGTCGCGCAGGTCGCTCCAGGTAAAGGCATAGTCAGCAGCATGGTTCTGCTCTCCGATGACTTGGACGAGATTGATTGGGAATTCACTGGTACCAACACTGCTCAAGCCCAAACCAACTACTTTGGCAAAGGTGTCTTGAACTACGGTGTCTCCGAATACGTCGATGTTACATCTCCCCAAACTGGATTCCATACCTACGCAGTTGACTGGTCTCCTACAGAAATCGTCTGGTCCATCGATGGAAAAGTCATGCGCACTCTCACCGCAGATCAAGCAGGCAACGAGTTCCCGCAGACCCCTATGAAAGTTAGTCTTGGCCTATGGGACGGTGGCGATGCTAGCAAACAAGGCGTCGATACGGTGCAATGGGCTGGTGGGCCGACACCGCTGCCGCCAACCCAGAACTACACCTCTTACATTAAGAGCGTGAAAATTACCAACGCAAATCCAGCTATGCAGTATGAGTACACCGATAAGAGCGGAAGCTGGCAGAGCATTAAGGGTATCAACAACACTCTCATTTCCAGTTCCAGCGCCAGCTCCATGCACAGCACTAGCAGCTCCATGGCTTCTTCTAGCCTGATCTCTTCCAGCATAAAACCTACCACGTCCGTCATCCCGGAAATGACCGTCTTGAGCACCAGCGAAGTTGTCATCACGGCCTGCGCTTCCAGCGTTCTCAACTGCCCCGCTCGCAGCACGCCTATTACATCAAAGGTCATTGTTACATCGACGAAACCCGCTACGACTATGGTTGTCACCCCCTCATCATCTGTCATGGCTGTGTCCGCTTCCAGCATGAGCAGCTCCGTCACCGCGAAATCTACTGTGGCCAGTGTTGTCAGCGAGATTGTCTACACCACCGTCACGAGCTGCCCAATCACAAGCACCAAGGTCGCCAATGGTACTACTTCTGTCATGAAGGCCACCAGCCTTTCTACCATTTTGAGCACCAGCACCAGTACCATCTGCACCAAGTGTGTAGCGCCACAGATGACAAGCTCGACTATATCTCCAGCGATGACCAACTCGACCGCAGCTCCCATGTCAGCATCTCCGATGTCTACTGTTGCCGCATTCACCACGGAGATCGTCTACACTACTTTGACCAGCTGCCCAGTGACCAGCACCAGGATCGCGAACGGTACCACTGCCGTTATGAAGACAACAAGCGTTTCAACAATTTTAAGTACCAGTACTAGCACTATCTGCACAAAATGTGTGGCACCACAAACGACTAGCTCTTCCTCGTCTAGCATGGTCCAAAACCCGGCCACCGCCATGCCACCCAGCGTTGCCGCGAACGCGTACCATGCTTATATAGCAGCCCATGCTTGTACCGGTAGCACTGCTGTCCCTGGCTTCACTCCACCTGTCTCTTCAATCGTGCAAAGCACCATTGTCAGCACTATTGTCAGTGCTTCGTCGACCAAGACCTCTTCCACTGTTATGACAAGCGTTGTCTGGACCTATCCCGCAAAGACCACTTCTTCTACCACATACGTGACTCTTTACAGCACCGGCTTCAAGACTGTAACTGACAGCAATTCTTCTGTCTACGTCTCATCTACAGTCGTTCCCACCGTTGTGGCGTCCACTGTTGTTGCTCCCGTTGCTGCCCCAGCCCCGACCTCAACCACGTCTTCGACAAGCTATAGCACGATCTACAGCACCGTTGTTAACACAATGACTGACAGTGCGTCTTCCACATACCTGGCTACATCAGCCATCCCGAGCGTTGTGTCCTCCGTCGTCGTCGCCGCTGTTGCTGCCCCAACCACAACCATCGCCTCAACGATCTACAGCACAGTCTACAGCACAAGCATCAGCACCATGGTCGACAGCGCCTCTTCAACCTACCTCGCTACTACCGTCATCCCCAGCGTCGTCTCCACAGTCACAATGGTCGCACCAGTTACATCAACCGCTTACTCCACAGTCCAAAACACCGTCATCAGCACCGTCACCGACAGCGGTTCCTCCACATCTCTTTCCACAGCGGTCATCCCAAGCGTCCTCTTCAGCGCTGTGCCTGCCGCCAGCCCATCAAGCAGTCTTCTGGATGTCAACCCAGTCAACGGTCTCCCCGCCGTCGCGCCTACCGGCACGACAACGATGACCCTGAACTCGACGTCATCAATGACCGCTACGAGCACATCTACGGCATACTTGAACGGCACCATGGCCGGTACCGGTGTTGCGGCGAGCTCCGGCTTCCCAATCACGACGGCGAAGGCAAAGGCCCAACCATTCATCGGCGGTGCGGCCAACTTGGCCCCTGCTGGCTTTGGTGGCTTGGCTGTTGCTGCCTTTGTCGTGTTGTTCTTGTGAGTTGAGTTTGTGAGTTGGTTGGGTCGGTAGATGTGTTCCGCTTCAGCAGCGGGTCTGCCGAGGTCGAGTGGGAAAGGATTTAATTGGAGGAGGCGTTCCTGAAATCCGACCCCTTCCGTGAAGGACGATGATGGATGGATATTGCGGTCACTGTAGTTTTGGTCTGCGGTGTATATAGCTCTGGGCGTTTGGGATTTGGCTCGGTCGTTCCTTTTGTCCATCGCGAGATGGCAGTTTTATTTAATCAATTGGGATTTTTTTGCGTACTCCACTTCTCCGGAATAAGGATTGTGCCCGCATGAATCCTTGAATTGCTGGTATAAACTTCATCCACGTAGAAGATTTCCAGCTTACTACGGACTTTTTCTCCTCCCCTGTATTGAATAAATGCACGGCTTGACAACAATCCATGTACAAAATGAAAAAGGTCAAGACCTGACAATGCCAATGATTTATGGCATTTACCCATTCTGCGGGTAGGAACTTTTGCAACGATTATCCACAATTTCATTGCGTCTCCGGCTGGATACCCATCAAGATGCCGACGAAAAAGGAACTTACGAGCCAAAATTGCCAAAAATTTTCGCCAATATTCCCATTGGACCTGTGAAAACTGATGCTCTTCAATCTTGTGCTTGACAACATCGGCCTCGTCTTGTCCACTCGATGCCAAGTATCAAATAGGCATGCGCGACAAACTTTTCTGGAAAAATTTCAATATTGTGTGTAGATACAGTAGCATTGATGACACGAATTGCGGTTATTTTTAGGCATCCATCCCCAAAAGAGATGAGACTGTTGGACTACTCAAAGCAACTCCTCCCACATATTTGATCGAAAGCCCCTCGTACGCCGTACTATTATCCATCAAACGCTTTTTCCGTCTGAGCAGGAACACGCTTTTGAAGAAACTCCTCCCACAAGGCCGCAGTCTCAATCCACGCGCTCGGGCTACGGCCTAGCTCACGCATCACCTGATCAAAAGATTCTTCCTTGAGACGATGCCGATAGCCGTCGGCCTTCTGAGCGGCCGAGTAACACCGAAGCGCCCTGTAGTCCAGGCTGGATACCCCTTCGCGGATGGAAACGTAGCAGTTGTCTACCATGCCCCGCTTAGGCTTCTCATTCTCGAGGCGAAGCAATAAGCCACTGTTTGGATGGGGGCTTGCTGGAGATACGGGGATGTATGCATCCCATTGAGAGGCATCCATGCGTTCCCGAAATCGGTTGCCTAGTCTTGTCATTGTTGCAAATTGGACCGTGGCGTTTCGGGGACCGGTGATGTCAATGTTGAGGACGAGAATCGGATGGTTGAAGAAGCCTGGATCCTGGTCGGATAGACTGGAATCCAGATAATTACTGATGTCTGCTTTTGGAGGCAGCCAAAGAATGCATCCATTGCAGATGTCCCAGAGTTCTGGCCGAAGTCTGTTCCCATCGTAGACTACAGCCGCTGTGCTATAGGGTCTGAGAAGATCGTTGATTTGAGGCTCTCGCTCCCAGGATGGTCGCCACGTGTCTATGTTGGAAGCGCTGGTGGGGGTATCCATGACCTGGTTGCGGGCAAATTTCTTTCCGCAGAATGAGATGCTGGTAATTCGGGGGTCACTGTAAGATAAATCAATGAACAGCTGTCATGGAGTGACGGGATACATGGCAAAATATAGGATCAGACAACAAAGGATAAAACAATTGACGCATGGCCAGCTAACACAAAGGGAAAGACAGCAGGCAGATGAGCCATGTTCCAATCCGCAAGAAAGAAAATTCGTAGGCAAACAGGACACCAACGATGCAGACAAAGAGTCACAAATCTAAGTCACGAGCGGAGGGGAGAGACGTGGATTCCAGGGCTGACGAAGAGGCCGGCGCCAAAACACTTCAGCCTCGCATCTTGCGTAGAACCTCGCCTTGATGCAACAAGAGAAGTAGCTGCGGTCCGGACAGCATGATCGCAGGCAGTCCGTATAGGCGTAGCTCCTGAGCAGGAACAACGTGCGGCACCGAGGAGTGGCTGTTCACAGAGGGAGGCTCAGCCTCGAGTGCGTTCCCTTGGGCATGATTCACATTACTCTCGGCGGGGTTTCGTGTTACGATGGTAATGCAGTAAGAAAGAGAAAAGCCGTGAAAGTGAAACCGTGGGAATTGAGACAGTGCTCAAGGTGTAGATAATACGTAGCACATGTTACAGGTGAATCTAGCGCAGCTTGAGATCATAAGGGCGTATTAGCCCGAGGATATAGTCGAATATAGGACTAGAGCCTTGAAAAGAGCCCTAGGGTTATTCTATACGACGGTAAGAGCCACGTCGGGGATAGGGTTTGAGTCGTGGATCAGTTATGAAAGTGAAGGAGAGAGATTACTTTCAAGACATGCACAAACGCCGAGACCTAAGCCAGAGTCACTTGAGATGGCAAGCTAAATGTCAATCATTCTGTGAGCATACCAGCTCTTCTCTTAAAGGATCTGCCTCCAAAAGCTACGGTAAGGTGTCTGCGTCGCGCCGGTTTCTTGCGCCCTGAGGGCAAGTGGAAAGCAACGAAGTGACTGGCGAAAGGGATGGCGCATCACCCTGCAGCGTCCTCAACGTCTAAAGAGCCCGTGGCAACCGCTGATCTTCCCTCCAGAGCTTCAGAGTACAGGCTCATTTGGCATCATGAGAGAGGAGGAAGTCTGAGAATTGAAACAGCGACAGTGGATCAAACACAGATGGAACAAGGCCAGCTTCAAATATGATTCGTTCACTTTTGTACAGGTGAGTGTTGAATGACAGTTGACCAGGCTTCGACAGTGGCAAAAAAGGACTTTCATAGGCTGACAGTGTGAGAAAGTCTGGGGTATGCGTGTGTTGAATGAGTAGAAAATAAGGGGACCAGTGGAAAGTCGTCGTCGATCAAGTCTTGGCATCAAGCCAAACGCGAAGGCAAGTTTAGTGTGGCGCGTACTCTCACAACTCAAAATATCCCTTTCTTCTCCAACACCACACATCAAGAGGGCATTAACAATCCTCTTCAGACTGCATCCTCATCCTCAACTCCTCAGGCATTCCATCCTGGTTGCCTCTATTCTAAGGCATCAAATAATTCTTCAATTATGCAAAGAGCAGCACGTCTTTTCCGACACTCGTTGTGAATTGACGCCTCGGAAGAACACGCTTCAACGCGCTGCAGCAAGGCGTACCTTAGCCTTTAGCTTCTTCTTCTACTTCTTCCTCTTCTTCTTCACTTTGATCCCTGCCTATCTTGGACACACTTGAGCCTTAACTGCATTGCCCCTCCACACGTCCGCTTCGTGTCAATGCGCGATTGTACCATTGTATCCTACTGGCTAAAGTCTCGAGCATCCGCTGCTTCTTCTTCTTCCTCTTCAATTCCTTCCACTCTTCATTCTCCTATCAGGCTATCATCAACGTTACTCGCCCTTCTCTACCTCCCTACACTCCTCTGTCCACCATCAACATACTTCAACATCATCCTCATCAACATCGCCTCTTCATATTTGTACTCTTTGACCAACGTCGAGCCAGTACTGGGCCAGGCATATTCTAGCCTGTCGCTCATACATTCCTGAAGCCGACAAAACAACAACATCCCATCCTTCAAAGCAACAGCTCAACATGACAACCCTCACAACTATGGCTTCGCCGGCCCGCTTGCCATTTGCTTCCCTGGGTGGTGCTAGACTTAGGAATATGACCAACATCAAGAACAAGCAGAATGGTAGGTCGATCGCCTATATATCACATATCCTCTTCTTGACACGAGCATCATTGATTGACATGCCAAACAGCTCTTGTTCCTACCGCTGCGTCTGCCCTGAAGCGACATGCTCCAGCCGAGTTTGACGACGTCGACTCGGAGAACATCGACCCTTTCACCTTCTCATCGCCATCCAAGAAAGGTCGAGCTTTCGACTTTGACTTGACCAAGTCCAACGACACCCCACTCTTTGCTCCCGCACCAGTCCAGCCCGCTCAATATGTCGAGCGTGCGCAAGCAGTTGGCCAGAAGCGAAAGGCAGAAGATACTGTAACCCCTGCTGCTGGAATCAAGCGCCGTGCCGAGCCATCTTCAGCCCCTGCTCCTGCCGGCCGCTCCCCAAAGAACAAGCGTATTGGAATACTATCCCGTCGTCGCATGACGACCAGCCCTTTCACTCGTGTCAATCCTCCATCTTCCTCTACCACCGAGTCCACCAATGGCCTGCCTTTCTCTATCGACGCTGCCCTCGCCGGCACGGTCCCTAAATACAAGTCCAAGTCCACACATGGGAAGGGATGGCAGTTCGATATCCATGAAGACACTCCAGAGGATGAGATGGCCAATCTGATGGAGCACTCCACTTGCACTCTTGAGATCTCCGACGATGAGGGCAGCTCGTCTAAAGGCGACAAAGACAACAAAGAAAACATTCCACCCATCGATGGCCCTGCTGCCGTGGCCTCAGCTACACAAGTCACCGCCACTAGGAGGGACATGATGACCGATGAGACGCGCGAACCACTGGGAGACCTCGAGGCCAAAGACTTTTACGCCGAGGGCTGTGATGCATCTTCTTGCATCATTATCGCTGCTGAGAACTCGTCTGAGCGGGTCCTGGACAAGCTGTCGACGACCATCAATACTCAGGAGCCATCCTCATCGCTCCGTTCTGATGCTGGTGCGGCAACTGAAGCTCAATCTGGATGGGAAGATGTCATCGCTCGTTTTGCAGCCAAGACTAGCACGTCTGCCGCCGACGCCGACTTTGGCATTGAAAAAGAGGGCGCGAAGGAGGCCACCGAGATCCAGATCTGGGAGAGTGAGAGCGCGAAGGGTGATGATGACGCGGATGCTCAGGGACCCGAGACTGATGGTGTCAAGCCTCAGTCGCTGTTGGCCTGATGTTTATCCTACATCAAGCACGCCTTTCCTTCCCGGTTTATCTTGCATGCTGGAGTTTGCTTTTCAACACTGTCGCCATCATCATTGCTCTGCGGTGCCACCTGCCCGACATCGATCACGTCAACGCTGCTCCAATCGGCAGCAGCGGCTCCTGGATTCGCCACAGGACGCTATCACACCTTGCAATTCCCGCAATTTCTCCGTTTAACACCAAATTTCCACCAATGTTCATCAAATCCACGCCTCCATACTTGCACTCTCGTTGTATGCTCTTTGTATTGACTGACTTCGGTGGATGTCTACAAATTCGAGCTCAGCAGATGCCTATAATGGAGAAGTGAACGTTGATTGCGCCGTGTTCTATCGCTAGCAGAGCTTCCGGTGTTGACTGACTTCGGTGCATGTCCACTGGTCGAGCTCGCTTGCCTTTCACGGTGCTTGGATGTTCGGACGTGGTGAACTTTGGACGCTTGGCGCGTGGCTTTGAGGTACCACTCATGGCTTGGTTGGATGTGAACGAAGAAAGTGTTCTCTATCTTGATTTCATATTTTAGCTCCATCTGTCGTGATATCTGCACACTTAAAGTAACGATGTTTTTGAAGCAAAGAATGAGACACTAAAGCTGGCATGCTTCGGGCGGGGGTGTTCTGGCTGGGCTTGTCACATTGGCAAATGGCATGGAGTGGTTAGATCTGGAAGGCTGGGAGTACAAGCATGGGTGTATGCTTGTTGGTAATAGATTACAACCGAATCAATTCACTGCAACACAAGTGTGCCCGAAGTCATAATGAGTGGTTTCAGATGCCTATCATTGGATTTCACTGTAGTACCGTATTATCGACTCGAGGGTCTTCTACAACTCATATTGCTGTGATTCTTGGGATTGGAGCCCAGTCAAGCGCAGACTTTGTCAAAATCAACAAGTAACTCAACCCGCGATATTCCCCAACGACAAATGCTTGACGATTTCTAGGAAATCCTCTTTTACGAAGCCTGTGGACTGTGCTCGATACTACTGTACTGGAACAAGTACCAAAACATGAAAGGATTCTGTTGATATCCGGCCGACGGATTATGACATACCGGGTTGAATTTGAAGGGCTGAAAAGCAAAATCCATCTTCCTTCCTGTCGCAGGAAACCGCACTGACGACCACTTCCCCTTCGGGGACGTCTGGATTGGTTGCGAGGAATGCGCCAAGCTGTTGGAAAACGGTGAAGGGAAAGGCCGTAGATGTGGAAGTGGATGGAAGGGATGGGCTGGGCAAGAGTTGCGTTTGGCTTCGTTCGGGCTGGGTGGTGGGGGCGTGAGAGAGGTGTGTGTGTGAGAGAGAGTGGGTGTGTGTGGGTGAGAGAGAGAGAGAGAGAGAGAGAGAGAGAGAGAGAGAGAGAGAGAGAGAGAGAGAGAGAGAGTTGGGTAGGAGATGTTGATGGCGGTGGGAGGTGAGGTGGTTGTGGTTGTGGTAGTTGCGTCTTGTAATAGGGGAGACTAGATCGATGTGACCAACCAGTTACCCCGACGCAAGACTGTTGCTAACGTGTATTGGCCGAGCACAAGCAAACAGGTTACCATTTGAATGAAATGAAAGGATAGGTCCTGCCTAGCACCGAAATACAATCCAACACCTCAGCAACCCAAAGGTCTTATGTTCCACGGCAGACAACTCTTCCCAGGTGGACAGATCGGCTCCGCAAAGACGGTCCCAAAATCCGTGTTCCCCCATCCCCCAAACGACGATCCCGGGCTATACGCGCAATCGTCCCCGTAATTACTCTCGGTGTGATTGCCAATGCTGGCTTGCCCGAGTAGAGAGATGCAGAGGGCGTAATCGAGGACATACGGATCTCCGTTCGAAGTCCTATCGACGCGGAAATTGGCTGTCGGGGGCCCGACGTACGATTAGCATGTGACTGGCGTGAGGGGACGCTTCCCGAGTGACCGTACCCCATAATGACACATCGGTTCCGAATTCGTCTTCGTAGATCGGCAAGCTGTAGACCAGGCCCGGCCAGCTGTTGCCCACGTTGATGGATACTGTGGTGGGAAGACTGTTTGGCACCAGGAAATGGTTGTTGCAGAAATCCGCTATGGCGGTCGTGAACACGTCGGTCCCTATCGCGGTTGGGCAACCGATGTTGTCCTTTCCTTGGTGGCAGCCATTCGCAAAGGTGCAGGGTATGAGTAGATAGATGAGCGCGAGGGTTGGGAAGCACATGATGAGAAGTTTTTGAAGGATCGGGTTGGAGAGGAAGGGAGCAGTGCAGATTACCACGATATACCTGTACGGGGGAGACCTGACCTTTTAGGATCGCTGAAGAGTGAGTGCGCATTCTTGGATTTCATATATGAAAAAAAACTTGAGACTGTCATTTCTTCATTTCACGTTTCACGTGTCATACTAGTGTAAGTGTGCGACGGAAGTATATTTCATCATTTTTCAATAGTAAGGTATTTGTGGCGCAGTAGAGCAGTAGAGGGCAGAAATAACAAGCGGCGAAACGGCCGTAACGAGTAACGAAGAAGAAGACGACGAAGAAGAAGAAGAAGGAAATGTAGCGACTTGAATTATAGGCTTGTCGTCGATGTACAGTCGAGCTACGATGACCTACCTCAACTGATGAGCCTTGATCTCTTGTTTCGTGGAAGAAATTTCAGGCTCAAGAGCGATCGGGTTCGTAATTTCTGTCTGGAGTGGCGCGGTCTCCTAGTAAAATTGTGTAGGTAGATGTATACTTCATGGTCTGGTCTTGTTGCAGAGGTCATTTTGAAGGTTGTCACATTGATTTTAATTTATCTCTAACAGGAGATGAAGGGAAACCTTGTCAAATTCAGCTCATTCAGTGGCAGTGCACAATCTGCGGATTCCCGAGGTACATGCCGGCCTTAAATCCTACGGTAGTATTCAAGGCGTAGAGAGGCAGCAAAAGTCGTAACAGATTTGCATTTTGAGAGATCTAGGAATCAACGGGCATGAAGATAAAGAAGGCTTGAAAACACTGCGTGACCACCAAAAGCACTAGTCTACTCTGGGTTAGTATGCACGTGATGGCGTGGGGTAACAAAGCGCGTGAACTTCATCTCCGACCGACTTCTCTTTACAATTTCATTATTCACTTCGTCAGCCAATAGCATTAGGATCCGGGTAAAAGTTGGTGTGGGCGTTGTGTGTTATCTGTCTCTTTGTGTGACTCCGATTGCTATTTGCTTCTCGCCTGCTGGATCTGTGTTCTTTCCTTCCGCTTCTCAAATGAAATCCAAAATGCTTCCATTGTTTCCCCACTCACATCAAAATGCCTCTTCTGTTCCTCCAATTGTGTAACTTACTCTCGGATCTCGAGAAAGTGTCGCACCGTGACCCACCTCTTCTGCCAGCACATCGTCAGCAGAGGTATCGGGAAAATATCGAGCAATGGTTCACCACTCATCGAGTTTCCATCAATTCGCCTGACATTGACCTTGTCGTCTTACTTTCTGCTCTCTTCCCTGAGAAGCGTACGGACCGCGTCTATAATATTAAGCTCAAAAGTCTCACAAACCTACTGAAGAGATGCCTTGGCCTTGGGAAAGACAGGTTGGAGATGCTAGATCAATGGCGGAAACCGGGCCGAGGCAGTCTCTGTGATTGCGTTGAACGTGCCCTTCGACAAGCAGAATTTCCCGAACAGCCGGCAAACCAGATTACTCTCGAGCAGGTAGACGAGGCACTTGCGACAATTGCGGGAAAGTGCCGATTTTCTGGGCCGAAGGTCAAAGGACCCAAGGACAGCTTCCTCGAGGTCGAAGACGGTCGACAGGTGCTGAAGATATTGGGGCAAACGTACAAACGAATGCAGTCTAGAGAAGCCAAGTGGTTTACCCGGATGATCCTGAAAGATTACTCCTGCCTCGATCTATCCGAGAGCATGGTCTACCATCACCTTGACGTTCGTCTACCCACAGCCATGCAAATGTACGACAACTTCGAGGCCGCCATCAGCGAGCTAAGAGGCTTACCCGCATCTCAGATGGCAGGTTCCAATCAAGGTGCCTTGATCCAGCGTCGTGCGAATGACGCCCGTTTACTTCAGCCCAGGATCGGCGTCAAACTTGGTCCGCCCAAATGGGTGAAAGCGAAGGGTGGAGTCAAGCATGCTGTGTCAGTCGTTGACGGAAGGACCATGAGCATCGAGAAAAAGCACGATGGAGAGTATTGTCAGATTCATATTGATATGTCCAAGGGTGAGGAATGCATTCAGATATTCTCGAAGAGTTGCAAAGATTCTACTTCGGACCGAAGAGGTGTTCACCGGGCTATCAAAGACAGTCTGCGCATCGGACGCCATGATTGTGGCTTTTCTAGAAAATGCATTTTGGAAGGGGAACTTTTGGTTTGGAGCGATAAGACGAAGGGGATTTTGGAATACCACAAGTTACGGAAGCATGTTTCTAGGTCTGGCAGCTTTTTGGGTACCGAACTGGATTCTCAGTAGGCATACATCGCCCGAGCGTGCAGATTTGGTGCTGATCTGAGTACAGACCTCATCCTTGGGAACACTTGATGATTATGTATTACGACGTTATGCTTGTTGATGATGATCCAGTCGTCCACAGACCACACAAGAAGAGGCGGCAGCTCTTGGAGGGGCTAGTAAGCCTTATTGAAGGCCGCGCAGACATAGTGTGGCAAAAGCACGTTCGCTTTGATAGACCGACAGGACCTGAGAAACTCAAAAAGGCTCTGGCCATGGCATTTGTCCTACGATGGGAAGGTCTGATTTTGAAACCTTCCGATGAACCCTACTTCAACCTCGGAACCCGTGGCCAAGGAAGGTTCTCAAATCGTTGGGTCAAGCTGAAGAAAGACTGCATCCAGGGTTTGGGCGATACTGCTGATTTCGCCGTTGTCGGTGCTGGCTATGACGTCAATGAGGCCGAAAAATATGAGGGTATGAATATACGCTGGACGCACTTCTACATTGGCTGTTTGAGGAACAAAGCGGCTGTCTTGCATGCTGGCGAGAAACCTCAATTTTTCGTCTTTGACCAAATCAAGGACTGCATCAAAAGAGAAGACATGAAGACGCTGACCGAGAACGGATATCTCCGAGCAATGGATACAGAGTTCCCAGAGACTTGGGAGGTTTTCGATATCGAGCTCGCGCGAGGATTGCCATTGATGAGTGTCGTCTTCCGACAACCCTTCGTCTTCGATGTTGCAGGCAGCGGCTTTGACAAATCGCCAAATCGTGATGTCTTCACCCTCCGGTTCCCACGCGTCATGAAGATCCGGCTAGATAGAGATTGGAGAGAGACTGTAGATCTTGATGAGCTACAGCACATGGCAACCGAAGCCAGAACGGTACCTACCGGAGACTTATCCGATAACATTGCGGGCTGGATTGAGAAGCTGAACAACGTCGATCGCGGCGCCAGAGGAAGGATGACGTCTTGGGACTTCACTGACGACGAGGAAGACGGGCACTATTTATTGATACCAGGCGCAGAATCTTCTACGCCAAAGGCAACTCGGCGTCCACGAGCGGCAGCAGTTCCACCGCTAATACGAATGGACACCGGAGAAATGCGAGATCAAGAGCGGAGGCTTAGCGATGGTGCTGTCGTTGAACAGCCTAAATCAAAGCACTCAATGGGCAGCATCACAAATGACGGCACTCTGCAGACACCACCAAACTCTTCACCACGTTCGAGAAGTGGTGGCGTCACATCCAGTAACAGAAAGACAACTGGATTTAGCGAAAATCTTCGTGGACCCTCAAGGAAGCGCAGTGCCGAACGTGACGACAAGGAAGATTCTATCAGGAAAGCGAAGAAGACACGGCCGTTTCCTATACAACACTCAAAGAGCGAACCCAAGCCCACGAACAACACCCGGTTGCCGACGCTCAAGAAGCCTCTACGTGAGATTACGAATCTGTCCCGACCTCCTCTTTCAGCCCGGTCTACGGACACTCTTGAACCAAAGCCACGGTCGACAACCCACTTCTCCCTTGTGCGTAAGACTGCCGTCGACACAGACCGGCATTTCCATCGAAGGAGGAACACCTCCAAAGTATATGTCGAACCTTCGTCACCTGCCAGAGAAACCACTGCTTCTGAGTCGACTTCTGCTGAAACCACACAGCAAACTATATCCGAGGAATCTCGGCCTGCGCCTCTTTTACCACCTGACCGTGCCACGATAGAGATCGGGAGCCTTCAAACCCCTCCGAGCACTGCAGAACCGGCCTCAAGCATGCAGATACCGCATATACCAGAGTGCGATGTCATGTTAGGCCCATGTCTGGTCGACCAGAATCACAAAGTTCACGAGCTTTTGTTCAATCATTACAAATCGGCATTACCATTTCCCAGAAGCCGTCCAGCAGAATGTTCCACCCCGAGCTTTAAATCGAAGCCTCGGTGTGAGCTCGTTGTACTGGTCGAGTCCAACGACACTCATGCCGTCGGTCGGCATGTTGGAGCGCTCTTACATCATTTATTACTTTGGCATCCGCGAGTGGTGACTCTATGGGACTGGCGGTTCCTGGAATTTAAATCGCCTCAACCGATGGAGAAATGCCATAGGACAGCGTTGATCCATAAGTACTTCGTTGCAAAAATGTGGTGGGATCCTCTGGCTAAGGACCAGGGAGCGGTGGTGCTGAAATGGTGTGGTGGCAAGTCCAGGCTGGTGCTAAAGGCAGAACTTGATGAAATGGAGTGGATAGAGGGTATTTGATCTCATGTTTGCGTTGTATTATTACCATACTTTACTAGCGAATAAAATCATATGTACAGTCCAAGGAAAACATGATAGACTCGTAATGATGTCTATTGTAAGCTAATCTAATCACTCTGTCCTACTTTAGTATATCGCTCCCTTGCGCTCCGCCCATGCTGAGCATGAATCCTCGAGTCGAAAAGCGAGTCATACGCTCATTCAATGTGGTTTGTTAACGAGTCCCGTCTTTGCTGCATCCCTTGGGTTTATCATCGGTCAGACTCTGCTGACTAGAATGGTTGTACTAAAAGTCTTACCCAGGATACTCCGTGGTGATGCTGAGATTAAGTCGACGAATCGCCTCCATCAACGCACCTTCTCCATTCGACGATCACGTCGACATGTTAATACTCCTATAATCCTTGAAAGGGTGGTTGTCTCGATCAAGGACAACGCGTCCCTCGGCACACGTCCATAGGACTTTCGTAAGCAGGAGTCTCGAGGCCGAGCCTGGGCGTACATGTATAGCACACCGTGGGGGGTATTGGTCCAGCCATTGTACTCGCTCAAGATCCCGGTCTTTTTGTGAGTCGAAAAGGACTGTGGTGTCGATTTCGTGTTTGCCACGAGCGCGAGGGTGTCCTTGAATTGTTAGCTGATCGTTTATGAAGTCTGGTATCGAATAGTTGCTGTAGAGGTCCGCTTCGGAAGTCTTGGCCATGTTGATCAGTTTGTCTCTGGTCTTCCAAGGACATACAGCGGGTCCTATGAAGTGGATAAGCCCCGCTTCTCATTATAGGATATATTATCAGAACTCTGCTGACGACCTACTCCGTGCTTTTTCATCGGCTTTCCAGTACTCAAGGAGTCCGAAAGCGTCTCGGGCTCCGTGGTTCGATCCAGCTCCACTGGGCACGGCAGCCATGTTTTTTGCGAGCGCTGTGGATACGAGACGCGTTTGAAGAACTGCGCTTCGACTGCGAGGGGGATTTGCTGCCAGTGGTGGGAGGTATGTTTATATAATTGATCATTGTGAGGGCAGATTAGAGGGTTAGGGGACAGAATAATATCGAAGCCGAGGACATCCATGTTCTCGACAATGTACCGAGCTCCACAACAAGATGACGATAGGACGCTATGGATTGGGGCCACACCACTTTCTCTCAACATGCAGTGATCGGTCGAGCATTGCAGCAACGCGGTGTGTGTAGTATGGCTGGCATCATGCTCGATGTGGGTCGAAGTTACCGAGCGTGAGGGTTTGAAATTATAGACCGCAAGTGAAAGTTTGCCTGCCAGCCTCACTACTATGACAAGGTTGGTAAACCAAATCAACAAATGAAATGCAAAATCGGAGGATAGGTTTTCGTTTAGAACAGTAGATGGCTTGAAAGGGGGTTGGACGTATTCTTGACCAAACAACAACAGCATACACAAGATACGGGCGAAGACAGGAGAAGAGTCTCGCTGATGTTGGCAACATCAACATCAAGCACATTACATAGTGAAGACACAGTTGATATAATAACGCCGTAGTGTTCTCAGGCTCCATTGCAAACGGAGTGGCTTCTGGCCAACGCCGGCCTCTCAAGTCCTACCTACCTGCTTCCCCGTTTGCTCCTCGGTCCGTCTCACCTGTTTTCAGTTCGGTTTTGGGGATAAAGGCGAAGATCTGTTCTTCGATTCTGCTCTTAGTCGCTCCACTATCACCTCGCCTGGGAGCTGGAACGCGCATCACGGGAGTCCATACGAATACGAACGCCAAACAAAATGGTGATGTCAGGTCACGTCACTTACCACCAGTAAACATAAGAATCCCCCCCATTTGCCTCACTACAAAGACCTAAAAAATCAATCACTCTGCTCTATTATCATTCCCAACAGTCCTCAATACCCATCTCCGACCCAACACCACCACCAACAAAATGACCACCACCTCATCCCAGGGTTCCCACCCAACCCGGACTCCCTCCGCCAGCGAGCAGAAACTCATCGACGATGTCCTCAAGCTCTACCAACTCCAACCCTCCGAACAAGCCTACTCCCACTACAGCGAAGATGCCGTATTCCGTACGTACATTTCCAAACAATCATTTCCCGGCTAGTATCAACCCCCGAGTTTCAAAACATCTTTCGCGAGCAGCAGGCTCCATACCATTATCATTGCCCGTCATATGAGCCAAGTCATCCTCCCCGAAGAAGCAAAAGCGCTGACTCCAGAACGAGCATAAGACGACCCCGTCTCCATCGCCAAAGGCCTCGACAGCATCAAGTCCCAATTCAACGGCATGCCCAAACTCTTCGCCGAGTCCATCACCGAGAAATGCGACATGCTCGCTTCGTCCACGTCGAGTCGGATCGAGTTGAATCTGACGCAGAAATATGTGTTCAAGTCGCCGATCCCGTTCAAGGAGAAGGGGACGGAGAAGCCGGTGAATTCGAAGTTGACGTTCCATTTGAATGGGGCGGGATTGATCGAGAAACATGATGAGGAGTAAGCGCTGTCTTTCTTTGGAGCTGTCTTGCCCTCTGATAACTCCCGCTGTTGGAGTTCCAAAATGCCTTTTGCGAGTAAACAGGTCTTTTTTACTCCTCGGACCTGTTCTGCAATTCGAGTCTTTGACTCTTGCCTCTTGGGATCCATGATGCTGATTCTGAAACGGACAGGTGGGATCACGAGACTAACAAACAAGGAGACGAGGGCTTCATGGGGAAGGTGCAGGCCTTTAGGAAGAAGACGGATGCCAAGCTGGTGGAGAAGACTGTGCCAAGTGATCCTAGCAAGGTTTGAAGCGGGCTTTGTGGAAAAAAGGGAAGGTATGGCATTGTTTGATAGTGATTGAAACACGACGAGATATACGAAGCTTAGCATTTCTCATAAGCATAGCAGATGAGAGATATAATGATAGCACGGCTCATTCCTACCGGCTCGAGCATTCAATAGAACGGTTATGTTGTCCCATTTGCTCTTCGTATCATGCTCAAGACCTCCTCTTTTCCAGCAGCCCATGAGCGAGAACGCTCGGACCGGCGTCTTCAGCTTTGTAGGTGTTGGAAAAGACCTTGAGGAAGAGCATGTGAGAAATGCATGGCTTCAATGGAAAAACCTACAGCTAGCCGGTCAAATGGGCGAGTGAGTACAAGATTGCGGAGTGAGTTTCTATAATCACTAAGCATTGGTTCCCTTTCCAACGCGACAAGGCTATTACCTCCGCAGATCAAGGAGACAACGCTTCCGTTGAGGCAGGAGCAAGATGCTTGGATTGAGGCACATGATCAGGAAGTTGTGGAACAAAGGGCAATCCATCTCACTGAGATACGTCCCTTTAGGGAGCGAAGTTTCTTTGTTCATGTTCTTTCATTGCTTCCCTTGCCCAGCACGAATGCCTGTTCAGCTAACAAGAACCTTTTGTGTGTCTTGAACATGACCTACGTGTGGATCTACTTTGCAGCTTGCCCGAACAAGATGTTTTGTTCAGCCTTTTGTCCTGCGCTCCGTCTTTATGCGTCCGCTCGCCCACACCAGGACGATGTATACATCTTTCCATGCCGGTCTCAAGCATCAGATTTTCTTTAGCAACTCAATAGTATCACCCAACGTCCATCTTCCCAAACATCTGCTACTCAAACATGCATAGCTCCCCCCTCCTTTTCCTCGCCTTGGCAACTGTAGCCCTCGCCCTCCCGACCAGCGACACCATCGGTGCAACCTTGATCGAAAAACGCTCATCCAGACCCTGGCTTGACTCCTTCGACCTCGACGACGTCATCTGCCAGGACCCAGACGGCGACACCAGCGACGATCCCCGGCCCTTTATCCAAGCGGGCGAATGCGTGACTTTCCAACCGGCGACCGGCCGAGTCGGTGGCAGCTGGGGCGCCGGGGGGTTTGAAATCAGCAGCTTCTGGGCGTTTGAGAATGACGACTGCACGGGGCCGGTCAAGGCGAATATTACGCAGAAAAATCAGGAGCAGGGTTTCTGTTTCAACTTGGATATTTTGGGCTGTCGGGCTGGAGAGGATCTGAGCAATCCGTGCTTTTGGAATAGCGTGAGGGGGAACTAGTAGGGGTTGGTGATGTCGATTGAGATGTTGTAAGTTCAAGGTATGGAAGACATACATCGTTTCATTTTGGTGGCGTTTTGGCGGATTCTGTCGTGGCTGCATTGTCGGGTTTTGGGATGGCTGTTGTTGCGTCCAGCTAGTGTGATCCTGGGGAGGGCGTGGGAGGCTCGTCTTGTCAAGCACTGAATGAATCTCTATGAAACACGCAATATCTTGGTCTTCTCGGTCCCTATCTGTAAATGTGTCCACTTGTGGTGGTCAAGCTGTACCCCGGTGATCATTGCTTTCCCAACTTGCAACTTATGCCCTGTCGTCACAGTGAGCGGCGTCATTCAACAAACAACATAACAATGTCATCCACCAACGGATCATGAGGCTGCCCAAAACACATGCATCCTCATTTCCTCAACCATGCTCACAAATATCCCGCGCACCACTCTCACCCACACACCCAGACTGTCCCCTACCTCCAACTGCTTCATGAAATTTACCTGCTCCCTCCGGTCTTCCTTGGCTAAAGAATGCACGAAGTTGTTTACATGGGCTTTTTCTGCCGCAGAAAGACGTTCCCGAGTTTTCCCACCCAGGTCCCACCCGTCGTCCAGGTATTCGGCACCGGCAACGTAGTCACTGTCGCATCTCCATACAACTGTCTTCTGCCCCATCATACCGTCCGCAAGTGCACTATGGTTCAAGTACAAATCGATTTTCGTATGTGCTGGGTCGCAGAAGCTTCGCTTAATATGCCACGACCTGTAGAAATCGCCACAGATTTGCTGTACCCGCGGGCTACCCTCGAGAACTCGAGCGGTTGGCTTGAGGACAGCCACAAGTGCTAATCCTGTAGGTGGCAGATGCTGTTTGATGCCTATTCCGAGGCGGGTTGAACTGACAGTCAACGAGCTTTTACCGCAGAATCACAGTACGCGTAGAGCCCGGGCGATGATTTTCGGGTCACCACTTTTGAAGGCTTTCTCTAGATCTTCGAAGATCAAAATCACGTTTGAATTATCTTCACCGTAAAGGTTCACTGAGAGATTACGTTGTGCTTTAGTGAGAGAAAGAGAGAGAGGACGTCATCAGTCGAAAAGCGCATAGGTGGCTCGTATTCGTAAAGTCACGTGCGCGGGCTTGGCGTAATAGATCGCCACCGCTCTCGTGTCTGATCTTTTACTTTACCCAATAATTGTATAGGCGCTACCGATATCTTGCTTGCCTACAGTATAGGTATCTATAAGCTACTTCGGCGGTGGAAAGGAAGGCTAATAGCTTCCAGCGTGAACATGTAGATGTTACGGTAGCGAATAGCTTATGCACTCCACCTTACTCCCTCCTCCCGCTTGCTGATCAGCAGCGACCGGCAGTTGTGTCTTATCATAGACTTATATTACATTCCAACGCGTTGGGTCTTGCCAGACCGGAGCCAACTGGACTCTACCTTAATCTGATAGCAACTTTAACTGCATCCTAATCTCCAAAATGGCTCACAAGGTGCCGAGCGAGCAGTCCCCAGACCAGACTCCTGTTGACTTCGACATCAACAAATTTCCATCTATGAGCGCCATCTTCTGGGTCAAAACATTCTTCCTCAAAAGACTCCCACTGGAACTCGTCGAATTAATCCTCGACCATGCCGAATACTGGCCGCACACCACTACGATCAAACCTAGACTGGAACTCGTGCGAACCCCAGTCAAATGGCGTGGCACATCTTCCGATATCGTGTCGAGAACTTGGCCGAGTCGCGAATCCGAAGCCATGCAAGAGGTGCTTGGATTCACGCTATACTCGCCACCGTTGGCTTCCGAAAGTAGTCTTACTCGTGCTGCTACGTTAAAAAGGGGACTACGTCGGTTTATGAGTAAAGATTCGGAGATCTGTTTGCCACCAAGAGGTCAAAATCCTGCACGCATGGTTGTCTTTGAAGTCGCCAGTCAGCGGTACGATATTCAACCCGGCAAATTCTGTGATGTTGGTATCGTTAGAGAAGACGAGCTGCTGCTCGGACAGGACGTTCCGATGGTAGAGGGTCAACGGAGGAATTCTAGCGTATTGTCTGCTTTCCGGAGTACGCAAAAGCTGTCGAAACCCTCGAAGCCAGACAAGACACAACACCTGGTCGCTCAAAGAGAATGTTGGTTCTCAGCGCAAGCGAAGGCGGAGAGTAAATACGTTATCAAACTGAGATATGACGAAGACGTAGACGATGAAATCAGGAAACACGCCGATGAAGATACGATGCCTACCACAGCAGACTTCATCAGAAAGCTGAAAGTTGGCGATAGCATTGGACTATGGGCACCCGTTTTGAGAGGCAATTGCGTGTATAAGATCGACGAATTGAAGATGCATGCCTTCTGGGCGGTCTAAAACATCTACCAATTTTCGATTATCTGCCGCTTTCCGCGAGAAGTATCCGCCGTCGCGACACGCGCCTTTATGCAACCATGATTATATTCTCATGTGCTTTTGACTGCTCAGGGAAATCGCTCTATCCACGTTGCCTCCTCCAAGCTGCAAGAGTTGGCGCTTTTTGTAATCCAAGATGAGGGCCATGAGTTCATTAGCGCTCCTTTTTCGTAGCTTCATGCTGGTCTATGCGTTATCCTTGCCTTCGTAAGTATCTGAAGTGGATTCTTTCTCCAGCTCTTCAAACACAACCAAGTAAGCTTTTCCAACTGCTCAAATTTGGGAGTACGCAATACTAACAATGAGACATGCAGCCTATTAACCCTCAATGCGCCGCCCTCCCCACCAGGCTTCGAAGTCCGCATCCGTTTCAACAACACCATATCTCTTAATTCGCTGGGCGTATACGTCAACACCATCGGGCTCATCTATCGAGCCGTGCAAAATAGCTGGGACGAAACCTTTGATGGGTCATCAGGCAACGTCTACGGCGTGGATAAGTTAGTCGTTAGTACTGCACCAGCTACGATAGCCAGCCAACTCCGGAGTTGTCATGTTGGTTCGGGACTTTTACAGTGATCTATATTATACTTGATGGGAACAGATCTCGTCTGATGCTGGCCCATTATTCCCATACAAGAAAGGAATTGGAGGTTTGAGCATGCTCGAGTGACGTTATGAGGAATGATGGCCTTTCCAATGACAGTTCGAGCACCTTGTCGAATAACAGATTAGGTGCACCGGGACACATAGTTGAACCAGACGACCACTCTTTCACCATCACCCAATCTTACGACAGCGAGATACTTGTCAACGAGGAAGTCTTCACGTCAGTTCGCGACGGCTTAACGAGATCAGCGGTATTCGACAACGAGCATTCCTGCAACGCTTCCTATGCTGCTGTCTAACAAGTAAATTTGTTCTTGGGGTTCTGACCACTCGCTCTGAGACGATGCCGCTGAGTACTTCTATGTGAGGAAACTCTTTGGTTTACTTGCTTTGGAGATGGTTGCCCGGGACAAATACGCTGAGGTGGTATTGGAATTGAAGTATGATAAGGAGAATATGGAGGATGAGTCTATGAGCCTTACGCCGGTCTTGGTTAACGGAACAAGTGGGATGGCGAGTGAGAGGACATCGATCAAGAGAAGTCTAGATCTGTCTGCAAGGTCAGTACCTTGGAAAGTTGAAGCTGTGAGGTGAGAGATGACTGAATTGCTAGCTGATTGCTACTGACATCCTTTGGGAAACTTCAATTCTATCCGTCAATTCACTCTAGCAATATTTGCCTCGCTTCCAGCTAGGCCCCTCTTTTTGCTTGCATGGAAGGTATTGCAGATTTGCTCTTGCGCTTTCTCTTCATTCATTTCAGGCCGCTTTGATCAGATGCAAACATCTGACTGGCCACAACGCAAGCAAACCCTACAGCATTGAATAAGCTTAAGGCTCATTGGGTCCCTGAGTTTCTTAGTTCCTTATGAAACTTTCACTTCGATAGGCAAACCCAAGTCACCTTTGCTCCTGCCATCCGTCACTGTATAATTTGCAAGGCCTGAGTCACAATAACCAATCCTTCTCTCTCAACTTATCGCTTACGGCTCTCACCTCCTTCTGATCATGGACGAGCCTCTTGATACTAGAAGTGTGAACAGAAACAACGAGGAGTCCAGCACAGACCTGGTTGAGCTTGGGAACTTGCACACACCAGGAGAGGACCTTCAGGAACAAGCCATGCAAGGAGAGAAGTCAGGCGAAGGGAATGAAGATGGAAAGGACCACATCACACTCTTGCCTTTCGAGGTCATGAGTAAGGCATTCGCTCAGCTCTCTCGCGAGGAACGCTTGACAACCACTTCGCTCGTGTGCAAAAAGTTCATGGACGTCAATCGCTCATACATCTACAAATTCATCCACATCAATTTGGGAAACCAACGAGAAGGGGGGGAAGACAACCCAGGTTTGGAAGAGTTCGGAGCATGGTTCGCTACCCTACTCAAGCATGACCAACTGCGCGGTCGCGTCGTCTCGTTAGCCTTCAAGGTTCATCACCACGACCTGTACCTCCAAGTCCAAGGACATCTGGAAAACTTGGTGAAACATCTTAAATCTTTGAGAGAATTGTCGCTCAACCCTCCACCGTCGCGCTACGACTTTCCAACCAATCCAATGACAACTTTTCTGCGACTGGATTTCTACTACGACAGGACCACCTTCTGGCAAGGCTTCCCTACCCTGCCGCCGCTCGAGCTGACGCAGTTCTTCTACATCGACCACATCCGCAAGCTCCAGATCGAGCACATTTCCTTGGCGCCAGAGCTGCATCGCGGCCCTTTCTCCATCCGCCGAGACAACACATCACTCATAGATGATCTGCGCTTCATCGACTGCTCTCCCCAAACCGTGGGAAAATTGCCCGATCTCCTACTCTTGCCTCAATCGCTCAAATGTTTCGTCCTGGAGACAAAGTGTCCGTGGTCCGTGGCACAGACCCCCCGTGCACGACCGCATACCATGGACGCACAGCAGCTTTACCAAGCGTTAGAGCCTCACCATCGTACTCTTGAGACGCTCGTCATCGCGTTCAGCGACGGCGCAGGGTTCCTAGGGAAGCCGACGTTGTCCCTTGCGGGCTGGTCGAGTCTGACAACACTCGCTCTCCCGGAGGCATTCCTCGTCTGCGGGCGTGCGAAGAGGCCTTTGCATGCCGTGCTGCCTTCCCGACTGGTCGAATTGCAGATCCAATTCCCTCTGCTTAAGCCATCTATGATCCTGCGTCTGGAACAGCTCGCGGAGAACAAGAAGGATTGCATGCCCGAGCTCAACCGCGTCGTCGTGTGGCATCAGGGCCGGGACCAAGAGAACGCGGCCGAGGGTGGCGATCTGGGGGATTTGGAAATGCTCCAGGGTCTGTTCGGGTCTGTCGGCACCGAGTTCGAATGGTGCTTCGAGTCGGCGTTTGCGGGGACTCCACTGGGGAAGGTGTTGGGGGTCGAGAGCACGGGGGGTCGAGGCCAGAATGTCCATGCTCACGTGCTAGATGCTGAAGGCGCTTCGGGGGTGGGGCTCTATTACGACGAGGATACGCATTCTGTCTTTTGAGCGGGGCGGGAGGTGATGGGGTTGGAGACTTTTGTCACTGGGCACGAGAGAGGGAGATGAGGAATTGGGTGTGAGGAGGAGACGGGTCGCTATTGCATAGGTTGTTCTCAGAGAGCATGCGCGATCGATTGAAGAATGCCATGGTGGTTGGACCTAGTGCTCGAATGTTGCATTGGGTATCATTACGTACAGACGCGATTGGCATGAGAAGACAGTATTGGCATGACCTGCATATTGCCCTGTTAGTGTCTCATCCGCATGCCCCATCACATATCCTAATATCTCAACTCCGTAACCCTGATTTCGTCTGACCGATGTATAAAGCCTTTTTTCGATCTTTCCCTCGGCGCTTCAAAAGTAACCTTGCGGTTGCACACTTGGTATCTCAAGCCCTTTCCATCTCTCTCGGGGCGCCTCAAGCCCCGGAACCTCTTTGCTTCCATATCCATTTCCAGGCCCGCTCCTATAGACCACAGCGTTTCGCTCCGATCGCCTGGTCCGTAGGATGAAGAGTACGGCGACCGCTACGACCAAGAGCAGGAGTGCACCCATGGTAGACCCGACTATTATCGCAATCTTTTTGCTCTTGCTGAGACCACTCGTTGTGCTTGAGGGAGTAGGAGGGGTTGATGGTTGTGTGGGTGTCGGGGTGGTGGCGCTTGAGCTTGCAATCGTTGAAGATGTGGTAGGAGCAGTGGTAGGAGTAGAAGTTGCTGAGGAGAGAGGAGTGTGGGTTGTAGCGACAGAGGATGTCGTGGTGCTTGACGTGCTGATTCTCGACGACGAGGGACTAGCTGCTGTGGGATTAGATGTCGCGCTGGATGCGGCTGTTTCTCCCCTGGACTGTGCGTTGGTCCACAAGACAGGCCTTTGTCCAACGCCTAACACGATATTGAAATCATTGCTGATGAACGTGGGTGGAGTTGCGCTAGAGGCGCTGAGGTCGGACACTTCGAAGTGGCACACCCAGGCATTTCCGTCATCGAGAGGTACGAGAGCCGAGCCTGTTGCTGGAACAGACTGGTTATATGCTGGACGGTGGAGTCAGATAGGGATGGAGCCCGCGCGGGAGGCCAGGAAGACCTACGATAAGCATAGTGGGCGGTGTCGTTGGGATGTTGGCACCGGAGTAGCAGATATGGAGCGACAAAGTTCGAAGTCCAGGATGCATTGACTGTATCGAGGTAATTGTATGTAGGGAGCGTGTTGACGTCAGGGTACAGCCATTTGTCGGCAGGAGAAGGTGGTGCGGGGAGGGTCGCAGCACAGGTTCTTGTGAGGAGTGTCGCAATGAGGGCGGTGGATTTTGCGATGCGAGATGTCCTGGAGTATGAGTAGATCCTGTTGGGCGCGCGCATCGCACAAGAAGCGAGGTTCTAGATTCCAGAAGGACGAGATTAACTTCACCATGCAATATGGTATCGAGTGCCTAGGATCAGCTTTACGAGGCTGGGAGCCATGCAATCGTTGCAGCAATTCAAAGCTACCACGAGCCTTGAATCAAAGCGACTCGAGGAAGAAGGAGAGACAGCTTCTCGGTAGCAAGAACTTGTCAATACCTATCGATGAAACAAAATCGTAACTACTTCGGCTGACGTGCTGTAGAAAGGAGATTGAGATGCTGGGTTGTGGCGCTGCCGTTTCATCTTGGAAACTAATTATACGAGTATGCGCCGACAAGGATCAAATTGACCGCCCAGCTGAACATGGACTGCAATAAATAACATTGACTGCAGCAACATGAAAAGCCTGAAGAGAATAGCATCAAGATCTCCAAATTCGGCAGGAAATGAAGTTATCTAGGAGAACTGTTTGTATCTCTCTCTTCAAGTTTGAGGATGGACTTTGGAAACCCGCTAATCCGCCTCGCAAGGCTGATCGGCGACGCTAAGCTTCAATCGCCGAATTTCAACCATCTCTCTTCTCTCTCTCTTGCCTTGACAATTGAGATAAGACAGCCGGCGAGAAATGTATCGAAGAGGTGCTCCAATCCTATGCCTGTGCTGGCCGACCCGAAGATAAAGCAGCTCAGACCCAAGAATAACCACAGGACGGGACTACAACACTGTGGAACATCTCGAAACCCTCCGAATCCAATCGACGCACTCACATATTTTCCCGCTCACCCACCTTAGTCTGCACTCGTGGTTTTGTACTTTCGCCGTTGTGGATTATTCTCTGCTTACTTCGATGATTTATGTGCCAATAATGCGTGTTCGGAGCCGTGCCGCAAAGATCATGGGTTCTAGTGTCGTAAAGCAACAGGGTCATGAGAATATTCGAGTTCTCGCTACAAGTACGGTGGTTTCCACGGCACAAACAGCGTCTGGCCTGTAAGACATACTCAACACATTTCCCACCTTGTATCTCCTCCAACGGAAGCCAGAGACAATATGAAAACAGTGTGGGTGGGGCGGAGCAGCCTCAGCCGTGCCGTAGATCCATGGAGGTCATTCAAGATTCAGGTTCCCTCGATGGCATTGACTAAAGGCATGGGTTGTCTCTAATGTTTCTTTCATCTCGCAACCACTTCTGCGGTTTGTTGTTAGGATATCTCGCGGAAGCATTATCACACATTTCGAGAGGATGAGTCTTGACGTTGATAATCCTCATAAGGACGCCCCAGTGCTCTATCAACCGCCGTTCATTAGAAAAGCGCTAGAAGAGTTTAAGTCGCCCGAGGTCCAGTACGTAGTGGAGATCTATTCGTCGCTAGTCAAGGGTCCCTATGGTCTTGTCCGACTTCTGATTCCCTGACTGAGGATGAATCGCCTCCTCGCTTAATGGCAAAAGGTTTCTCGGACTTCGAAAGTCGACTTCTACTTGACAATTGGGCTCCCCGTTGTCACAATATCTTGCATTGTTGCCACTCCAGTCTTAAGATCGTTGATGGCTGCGGCAAGGCTGAGGTGCGGTAAAGAATTTAGTTTTATAGAAACACACCGTACATTCCTTGCATCAATTAAGCTCTCCCTCATATGTTCGACGTGTCTGATCACGTCTAATTATAGACCCACGGTGGGAAACCAGTCAACTGCCTCGGTCAGCAGCAACAACGTCTCATCTCTCCACCCTACTACCTCCTGCACGAGAATCAGTACTCCTTCCACGGCATGCCCAGTGGCGGTAACGCTAAATTCAGCACAAACTGTAACACCAACTATCCCAACTCCAATCTGCTCGGCATTTTGGTATACACATTCGAGGACTGTATCGGGGCATGCGCGAGCTACAATTCTAGGATGACGCTGCATCCTAATTCGACTTGCTCAGCTGTGGGATACCGTCTAGACTTTCTATAAGCTGAGCCGGGAAGAGGCGGCAATTTTTTCCTGCAGAGCAAGAAAAGATCTCGGGACAGTAAGGAATGGAAATGCCAGCGCTGCGGTACTGATTACGGATTGATGTTCCGAGGAGATTGTGGCGTCTGTGGATGAGAAAGCGAAATCATAATTTCCCCAGTCAGAACACTGACGATTTGCTGGGGTTGGAATAACTAGATATCTCAAGGCAGAAATATATTAGCGGGGGACGAGCTAAGTGCGTGGCACGATTCAGCATAACAACCTTTAGCGATCAAAGACTGTCCCAAGCAGCCGGTATCGTCGTGTCCAGCTCCACTCCAGATGTTCAGCTATCGTTGCCTTGACGGCGAATTTGTTTGACTGATCATCATTTTTGTGTTGGGGTACTCTATGTGTGAGACGAGTTGACGCTTGAGACATCTCATCCGAGTTCATACGTCGACTCTTTAGGCAGTGAAGATCAAGAAGGAAGCAAGGTATCTTGAAGCAACCGGCTGTTCCAGCAGTGTCCAGACGGGACGACAGGAGCTTTGCGGAGTAGAACACGAGCGTATCGAGTTTTGACCTCGGAAAGTCATTCGATTTGGGTCAGCGGCGTTACAATTTACGTACAGGTCAAAGCACCAAACATGGATACCCTGTTTAGATGCTGAGATTCGAAAATGACGGTAGAGAACCTCCTTGTCGCCGATTGCCAAAGCACATCTTGCAACATCAACGGAGCTCTTCCAAGTGGTGGAAGTGGGTTAAAGTAAGTAATAGAACTTGCATGGTTCCAGGCGAGCGGGAGCTTCTGCCAAGACAGATCTAGGACATTTCGCGCTAGAGATGTGCGCTAAGGACTTTCAGCATTTAGCGCGCCAACCATATCCCCAGATCTTCAATCCTCCCCGGAAACTATCACACGCCATCTTGCACCGTCCCGTGCTTTTATGTCCAACAACCTGGATATATACTGGGATGAGCTCACGTCAAGAAATTCTCCGATTGCACAAGGATTCCCCAACTTCTACGTGGCTTCTAGACTCTTGCAGGGATAGGAAATAGCTTCCAATCTGACATGAGGCTTGCTGATCCTAATCACAAGCTCGTTCCTGACCCCAGCCTGATCCTTCCACTCACACCCTCCGGCCGCCTTACCGCCTTACCGCCTGTCTCCTGTCTTTCCGCTCCTATCAAAGCTCTGGAGTTGTGCACGGAGTAGAGAGCTTGGGAGAGAGATGAGGCCCACAGGACGAGATCCTTCGACATAGAGATCTGTATCAAAAGGACTCCCACATTCGCACTTGAAGAGTAGCTGGTGTCCAAATCGCCTCATCACTCTCCTTCAGAATAGGCAGTGCGTAATCGCCGTTGGACCCTGTTGCGTGCTAGGCGGGTCTGTGCTGGAACGCCATCAAGATATTTGCGATGGTTCATTGGATGTTTGCAGAAGCTATACAAGCTTCCCTATGGCTCTTTGCATCTTTTCGCCCATGGGCTGAAATTAGTTCGTCTCCTAGATCATGGACTACAATAACCCATTCCGTCACCTTTTTACTTTTTCACCCTTGTTTTCAATCAACGAGCGATGACCTTATATTTTGACGGCCCTCTTCGTACATAATTCTTTCATGTCGCTCCTGCTCTTCATTTTTCAAGCCTTTCTGCAACGGTCTCATCGCTGTCGGTACATAATCGTCGACTCGCCACCAC